CGAAGGGAACGCACGGGCGAGGGGGGCGCACACACACGAGCGGGCGCCCGCAGAGAGAAAGAGCCACCGCACAGGGCGGCCGCGAGAAGACGGGGCGACGAACCCACAGGACCGGGCAACGAGGACCAACAGGACCAACGGGCCGCGACAAAGGTGGGTCAAAAAGGGCGACCCAACCCCAACGGGCAGGAAGCGAGGGAGGGGGGGGGGCGGGAAGTGGGTTCACGGTCATTGGCTCGGACCACCAACACCGTGATCATTTCTGCAAGTAGTAATGTCCTTCGGAAGCAGATGGAAACAACGCAATAGTAAAAAGAAGTCCGCATCCGCAAGAAAGCACCTCCTCAAAGTCACCAAGGCCAGGCAGACAAAAGGGAAATACATACATGACAAAGCCCACGACATCGGCCAAAAATACACCACCGAGCGCACCCCGACCTGAAATTAAAAAAAAAAAATCTGACCGTTTCGGCGGAAGCCTCTCATCGGACCGCCTTCGCGAAAATGTAAGGTTATGAGGAAATAAAACAGGGAGGGGGGTACGCAGACCCTATTCCCTAACCCAACTTCCCCGATTGCATTCCTTGTCCAACATGTTTGCCTGGACGAAAACCCAAGCGAACGCTACTGTTCTCATCTAACCCCGTCCCAAAAAAACGAAAATACTTCGTACTTCAATTCATAATCGTGGAAGCTTCTCATCTATCTCACCCTGGCCCAAAAACTTCAAAAAATTGCTTCACATTAAAAATCCTTTCGGCGGAAGCCTCTCATCTCACCCCGTCCCAGCCGACGACTTGTCCGTCAGGCCCGTAGCCCTGGAATCCAAAGCCTCCCAGCACGGAAGCCCCGTCGGCGGTCTTAAAAAGACGAAGGGTCACCACGCCACGCAAAGTCAAGGCATTTAGTTCGTCGCGACAAGAAGGTGGGTCCACGCAGCATGAGTCAGTCAGGCAGGCGGCCAGGTATAACAAGATCAACCATCAGCGAATGAGAGAGCTGGCAGCGTGCAAGCACCTCACCACAGAGAGCCGAAAGCAGGATGCCCGCTACCACGCACGGTACGGTACTGGCTGCCGTGCTGTTTACCTTCCAAATCCCAAAAGAAAAGGCACGAAAAAAATAGCATAGGACCTTGCAATGTCTTGGCCAACCTCTGAAAGAAGATTTGCTTGGGTAATAAACAGTCAAACATCATCCTCTGGTGGATTGAATCTTGGCCACGATAAAGATGTAACCCCCCGAAACAAAAATAGAAATACATCCATGAAGACCGGTGTCACATACATACAGGACAGGTAGATAAGGCAGATGCGTGTACAGCGGTAATACCTTCCAGGCGAAGAAGTACTTCATCCGCACGAAGAAGAGGGTGATCCACGCGTTCATGATCCGCTTGGGGATAGGCATACCAGCCACCTCCGACGATCGCATCCCCTGCAAAAAAAAAAAAAAAGACGTGAAAAAAAACAACGAAACTATCCCAGACTGCGGAAGAGAAGACTTTGTTGTGTTGTTTAAGTGAGAAAAAAAAGTAGTACGCGGAGATAGCAACAAAGATCGTGTGGACACCTATAATAGGCACACGTCACCCTTCCGCAAGCGTCTGCGGGAGAAGACGACAATGGCAAAAAAAAAAAAGAAGGTACAAACGGGAGCAACACCGTGGTCACGATGATCTTGCACAGCAGTAGCAGGGCATGGGTTGCAAGCGGGCGGACACGATAGGAGCAATAATCAAGCCGAAGCTATTGCCACCACTACGATCGGGGAATGTTGTATGTTGCATACCGCAAGAGGCGGAGAGATGGCACCCCCCCTAGCCGGCTGTCGAACCTCGACTGCGCCACGACCAAGCGGGTGCGAAAAAGAGCCCGATACGTCTACGGAAAGCCCTCGACGAGATGTTTCCGAAACCACGTTTGTTGGCGTTGGCACAATCTTGATTTGTGGAGCAACCGAGCTTTGAAAATCGGTCTAGGGGGCGTGCCATCTCCGCCTCCCACGACGGCGCATGCCGCGAGCGGAGAGTAGCCGCTACTACGACCGCGGTATGGTGCTTAGATGTTGGTTGTACTTACCGCGAGCGGAGAGTAGCCGCTACTACGACCGCATACTCCACACAATACGGCCGCGGTGCGTTGTTTATATACTAACCGTGAAGCGGAAAGCAGCCGCTACTACGACCGCGGTACGTTCCATGGTTGGTTGTACTTACCGTGAGCGTTTGTAGCCGCTACTACGACCGAATATTCCACACCACGACCGTGGTATGCAGTTGCACTTACCGTGAAGCCGAAAGCAGCCGCTACTACGACCGCGGTACGTTCCATGGTTGGTTGTACTTACCGTGAGCGTTTGAAGCCGCTACTACGACCGCATACTCCACACCACGACCGTGCTACGCAGTTGCTCTTACCGTGAGCGGAAAGTAGCCGCTGCCGACCTGGAAGAGAGTGAGGCAGAGCATGCCCGACCCGAACTTGGACAGAGCGGCCGCCCAGTTGGAGGGCATCGGGTGCGGCTTGCCGTCCTGTTTGTTCCCGACCCACCCACAAGGCGCCGAAAAGAGGAATTAAGGGACCACATCCCCACACACCACGCATTCGCGCCAAGGAAAGAGGAAGGGAGACAGATAGACAGGGAGAAACAGACACGGAGAGAGACAGACACAGAGCGGTAGGCACAGAGAGGCGGAGACAGAAACAAAGACAGAAGCGGGACGGGCAGACAGAGAGCCGGGAGAGAGAGAAGGGGGGGCGGGGGCGGGGGGGGGAGAGAGAGAGAGACAGAGAGAGAGAGAGAGGGAACAACAGCGAGCACGGCAAACGTCAGCAGCAAAGAGAGCACCAAGGATGAGCTCCTTGTGCAGGAAAAGACAAACTGCGCGCGAGCGCGTGCGTGAAAATCGTGATCGATCACCTACAGCAGTACGTCAAACCGATCACACCCCCGCAGGTTGTGTGCCTGTGCCTGAAAACGTTTATTAACAAGCAAGAGCGTGATACGTTTTCCGTGTCTTGGCCTATGACGGAGCACTCTTCCGTGCGCCCTTCCCGGACCGTAGGCTCCGCAGTCAGTCCCGCCAAGTCTTCCAGGGTCAGAACCACGTTGTGCAGGCGCAACCTTC